GTGACGATAGTGCAAAAATGAACACGTTAACAAAGCTAAAGTTGGCGTAAGACAGGAAATACAATCCTCCGGAACAGAATGAAGGGTCGGGATAAAAAAAAAAAAAATGTGGGGATAGCGACGGAGTCAAAACCGATTCAGAATGTTTGTTGGGGTGGAAGCAGAGCGAGAAAGAAAAAGAGAGAAAGAGAGAGAGATAGATAGAAAAAAAAGATTCGGGTTATCTTTAAAACTGACTTCCTTCTCGGTACTCGTTCGTTCTTTCTCTCTGGTCGTTCGTGTAGTTTGGGGTTGGGGTCAGGGAAGGAATCAATGCTCATGTGACTCCTTTAAAGAACGCAGCAAAAACACCTCGACCGCCTGTTCGTTCATTCATACCCACGTCTCATTCACAACTAGAGATTACTGAATATCATTCGCTTGAGTGAAAGGGAGATTTTTCCCCCTCGTAGAAAATTTATTTATTTTCTTTTTGATTCTTTTTCGTTTTCTTGTTTTCTTGTTTCCCTTCTTTTTTTTTTACTTTCTCGTCCAGAGTAGCTGCTTTTATTTATTGTTTTAAAAACCTGTTCCTAACATTAAAAGCAAAGGTTTTACATTTCCAAATATTTTTCGCAGATTTTTTTTACTCCTTAAAATATTTTAAAATAAAAAAGAATACCAAAGTGTTTGTTTAATGAATTGAAATAAATTTTGTTAAATTCAAATTTCAAATGTACTTTAGCTCAGTGAACATTTCTTAAGAAGAAATGCCAGCCATAACAACACCAGAGTGAGACTAGATAGGCAAAAGAATATATATATATATATATATATATATATATATATATATATATATATATATGAATAAAATGAGAAAATAGGCAGCTCCAAGGAAAGTTTACTATAGGTGCACACCGGAGAATGGCAGAGCCATAACATATTTTAATTAAATCTCTAATGAGCAGTGACCGGCCACGACTAACAGTTTCATACGTTTAAAAATGCAATCATCATATACTAAAATTAGCTTAGTCCTGCGCCAGGTTAAATGAATAAAAATGGGATTGACAATTGTATAGCGCCAATCTTACAATTAAGAAAAGGTTTTCTAGTTTTAAAATTAATATTATTACTAGTAAAAGCTCGAAATTAGAATATATATGCTTACTAAGCTAGATCCAGCCCCAGACTAAATGAAGAAAAAAGAAATATAAAGATTGTGTTGCGCCAAACTTTCAAATCTGCCAGAGTATTTGTCAAAAGAATAAGTATTTGAAATCCTGGTTTTTATGTGTTTTACTAATTTTAGTTGATTTCGTTGTCATGTCACGTGTCCCACAGCCCTACTTAACTTGTAGGGAGGCCACCCGTATTGCAGCCATTACAGCAGTGGTGTGTCTACGGTAGGGGGGGGCTGACGGAGTCCATCCCTCTTCGAGCTGATTTTGAAATCAGAATATTGGTTGCGACCTCAAGGCGAGGACCCTATTCTATTCCACTTTTTAACGCATAGCTGGAGCAATATGGAACCTTGTCTTTTTCAACGCGTTTAACGGGAAGTGATCAAATCAAAATCGATCGGAATTTGATTTTTTTCTTAGTAAGGCTTCCTTCTTACACCACCCAAAAAAAAAAAGCGTTCGAAAATATGACTTTTAGTTATTTTGCTAATTTTGCTTTGTTTTGATATAAAAGTAGAAAGCTTGTGTTGCGCTAATTTTGCAAGGGAAGACAGTTTATCTCTTTTAATCAGCATTCAAAATCCTGACTTAGATATTTTAGTATTTTTAGCTTACTCTAGTACAAGGCTAAATAAGGATGATTGTGTTACGCCAATCTTTCATTCGGAATATTACCTTTTTAGATGTTTAATTTTTACTTCGGTATAATTCATGTTTTATCAATATATAGAGTAAACACTTATTGGAATCTAAAAGTTTATTTGTTAAATGATGGGAACATCTATCTGCGCAGTTAGGATGAGCGTAAATTCGTTCTGCGCATATGTAAACAGACGACGGCCATTTATATGAAATGTCCTCAATTTCGAAGTCACGTGGCGATTTTGAAGTTTTAAAATCGGTCGCATAGTTGATTTAATAGATAAAGAGAAATGTTTAATAGCCTTAGTCAGGGCCGGTGCAATGGTCTCATGTACCCACCCCCGAATCTATGATACCCCCCCGACCCTACTGCTCTCAATTTACATAACGTAGTTTTCATATAATATACAAATTTTATTGTAACCTAATTATGTACAATAATGGATCATATGCAATATAGATGTACAATTCAACTAGAAAAATTGAAAATTGAAAATAAATAAACTTATCTAAATACAAATTAGACATGTCATAATAGATCATTCCATCTTAAATAAATCAACAATGTTTTGCGGTAATCTTTAACATGAGAGTTTTCTTGCTAAAAAGTTGAATAATTTTAACACATTCAACATTATGAATAAAAAAAAAATAATTTTATTTTATATATATATATATATATATATATATATATATATATATATATATATATATTTCGACACTTAGCATGAGCAAAACGAATTCACAGATTTGGACAAAAAAAAAATGACCCCAGAATGAGGTCAAAATCTGAAAATGTTTTATCCTTTAATAGTCAGTTGTGTTTAATTTAATTTGTAACATATATAAATGTAGGTAAAAAAAAAAAGAAGCTAATATTGATAAGACAGCAAAGATCAGGAAGCACTGCGCGGGGGCCTTCGATCAGGCCCCACTCCCGGTCGGCGAGGGGGTCTGTAGTAGTACTCACCGACCTTGACTTCAGTACTTATAAAAGGTCAACAAAACGCTCGACGAGTACCATCGAATTGCAAAGAAGTCCATTGAAGATTCTGGACTATTCTGATGAAGCTTATTTAGTTGATTTGTGTTTTGTATCAGGAAAGAAATTATTAAACAAAATCGCTCTTTGTCAAGTTAGGAACATTTGAAGCCTTATGGAAGTGTCAAAAAAGTCACCTCCTACCGTGTGTACTCGAATATAGTGCGAGTTTTAAATAGGGGTCGTACTATACACAGGTAATTTTTGGAAAAGTTTAAATATGCATTTTCGGTGACCGGTTGCTCTATACACAGGTAAATTTTTCTAGAGGGTTTAAAATTCATTCATTTTTGGTGACCGTAACCTATCTGGGGGTCCTAATTCTTGGGCTAACTTAACGGGAATAAATTTAAGCTACGTAGGAAGCAAACTCAAGATAAAGGAGCTACGATAGGCATGAACAAAAACAAAAGTATGGTATCTAAATCTTCGTATCAGATATTTTACGGTACGTTGTTTTTCTCGCCATTTTGGGGTAGCTTTGTACAAAAAACAACGAAGACCATTTATTTGCTATAAAATACAGGGATTAGACAAAATAAGATAAACAGCTTGCAAAAGTAGCAATTTTTTTTCAATCCCAGCATTTCTGGATATTTGTAAACATGAAACCGGCATAAAAGGTAACTGCTTCCCAATTTATTCGTCTACTTTGATTTTACACCTAATTAAGTTATTATTTATTTTCAGGTAAAATAAGTAAAATAATTAGAAGCTAATGGGGGTCCAACACCTTGTTAGTAAATAAATGTTTAAGCTACTTTTCACATTATTTTGTTTAAACCCTGTATATCCAGGATGATGCCCAGTATTGCACTATTTGACTACAGTAAGGCCACAAATATTGCTCAGAAGCAGGGGTCGCATTATACACTACCTCTAAAAAATATTCTAGGATCGAACTATTAAGTAGACTTATACACGTGTATATACGGGTGTGGTGTTAATACAAAAAATAATGAAGACCATTTATTTGCTATAAAACATATCAAGTATGATGCCCAGTACTGCAATATTTGACTACGGTAGGCCCACTAGTATTGCTCAGAAGCTGGGGTCGCATTATACACTACCTCTAAAAAATATTCTGGGATCGAACTATTAAGTAGACTTATACACGATTATATACAGTGTAGTGTTAATACAAAAAATAATGAAGACCATTTATTTGCTATAAAACATATCAAGTATGATGCCCAGTACTGCAATATTTGACTACGGTAGGCCCACTAGTATTGCTCAGAAGCTGGGGTCGCATTATACACTACCTCTAAAAAATATTCTGGGATCGAACTATTAAGTAGACTTATACACGATTATATACGGGTGTGGTGTTAATACAAAAAATAATGAAGACCATTTATTTGCTATAAAACATATCAAGTATGATGCCCAGTACTGCAATATTTGACTACGGTAGGACCACTAGTATTTCTCAGAAGCTGGGGTCGCATTATACACAACCTCTAAAAAATATTCTGGGGGTCGAACTCTAAAGTAGACTTATACACGAGTATATACGGTGTAGTGTTAATACAAAAAAAACTACGAAGACCATTTATTTGCTATAAAACATATCAAGTATGATGCCCAGTACTGCAATATTTGACTACGGTAGGACCACTAGTATTTCTCAGAAGCTGGGGTCGCATTATACACAACCTCTAAAAAATATTCTGGGGGTCGAACTCTAAAGTAGACTTATACACGAGTATATACGGTGTAGTGTTAATACAAAAAAAACTACGAAGACCATTTATTTGCTATAAAACATATCAAGTATGATGCCCAGTACTGCAATATTTGACTACGGTAGGACTACTAGTATTGCTCAGAAGCTGAGGTAGTATTATACACGACCTCTAAAAAAATCAGTTTTTCACAGAGAAATTCAGGATTCGCACGATACATTAAGTAGGCTTATATACGGTAAATCAAACGGGAAAACACGTGATACCAATCATTAGACTGCTTTTAAAAACCACCCATAATGAAAATCGAATGAAATGGGTAACAGAATATATGAAGACGGAATTAGAAATCTTTTCACCGAGGAATGTTGGGCCAGCCTTCAGTGGGTCAGAAAGGTGGAATAAAGGTAAGCTTTTTTCTTAAAATATATCGCATGAGATATAGTTCATTATAAGGCGGCTTACGGCCGAATCATGTTGAACTACCGGTTCCCGTACGATCACCAATGTTAAGCAACGTCGAGCCTAGTTAATACCTAAATGAGTGACCATTTGGGAATACCAGGTGTTGTGACCTTGTATGTCAGGTAGTGTAATAGAAAATAGCACGCAATTATTAATCATTATATTCACTTCCGCGCAAAATACCTTTGGGAAAGGTTTGAATTCACTTCTTCTCTCCCAGTTATGGCTTAATCAGTATGGCTTAATCAGCATGGCATCTATCACTAAATCCATTATTATCTACAAAAAACAAATTCTTACAAATTAAAGTATTTTCTATAAAGAGTTAATAAGTCGTAGAAAACGAATCAGTCATCATAAGACAGGCCAGACTAATAAATAATCAAGGTAATTTTTCGTTAAAAGTACCGCAGCTATTTTTAGCACTGGAATGTATGGTGACGCGTAAGCATCTCATTTAGAATTGGAGAAAAGTTGTTTTTTGTCCTATGATAAAAGGATTCTTTCTATAATTAAAAACTAAAGATTTGGCATAATATATTCTCTCTGATGACAATGTGATTAACAACCGGCGTGATTATTATGGACGTTTCCTGTGTCTAAAGCAAAAGATGTTTACACTTATGATCTTCCTTATTGAAAAACGAATGGTTACAAAATTCAGTCAACATTGTAATTAATCTTTGTTATGCGTGTGGCGATGTGTAAGAAAGTGTGAGTTTGAAAAACTAACGACATTCTTACTTTTTTTATATAAAATAAATACTTGTCGCAAACTAAAATCGTTACATTTGCCTTGATAAATTCCATCAGAGGACGAAACGCGTCGGCTAAAATAAGTTTCCTTTGTCTTTATTAATATTGTCATTTTATATATATATATATATATATATATATATATATATATATATATATATATATATATATTGTTATATCTGAAGTTTTAAACACAGACGCACACACATATACAGGGTGCGATGGGTAAATTGTCACTATTTTATATATTTAATTTTGCGCATTCGCGTTGTTTGTTTTTGATTTTGTCGACTGCACAGTTGATGGATCAGCCGGGCATCGTCTCTGAGATAAAAAGCACCACGGCACAATTCGCTCCTCCATTCATCTTCCCAGAGGGCCTCAACACGGTGGCCTACATCAAGCCTCTGCTGGAAGACCCTATGTCTGGCAACAGGACACTGCACCATGCTACACAAGAAGGAGAACCCAGTCATGGCCGCCAGACAAATTCTGCGACCACATCAGCCATTACATCTGGCCACCTAACTCCCCAGATTGCGATCTCCTCGATTATTTTGTCTGTGGCGCAGTTGATCGAGAGATCAACAAAAATGCTTGTAACAACAAAGATGAACTGAAGGCAAGGATTATGGCATCATTCACCAACTTAAACAAGGAGACCGTCCAGAAGAGATGCAGGAGATTCCGAAGTCGTCTGGAGGCCGTGGCTGAAGCCAATGCCGATTTTATTAAATAAATATACTCTTTAAGCTTTGAATATATTTTTGCGTGATTTAGTCGACATTTTATCCATCGCATCCCATATATATATATATATATATATATATATATATATATATATATATATATATATATATTTAGGTTAATCAAAAAATAATGACGTAATAATGTCGTTTTTGACGTATTTTTAACGTCAAAAACGACATTCTTACGTCATTATTTTTTACCAACCTTATATATATATATATATATATATATATATAGAGAGAGAGAGAGAGATTTTTGTTTTGTTTTGAAGGTTGAAACGATTGAGAGGCAACTCTTCACAAGTTACCAGAGAAAAATAGAATAAATAATCTTTCGTCGCAAATGAACGGTCGACTGTGACATATGATGAAAACCTGTACAAAATGTATAGTATCAGTAAATTATTAATTGACAATAATTGTAGGTTAACCCTTACACGAGACAGTCTTATGCATATATAATATTAAAAATGCTAAAAATAAAGCTTTTGAAAGTAGAATAATTGAACGAAATCAATGTACTTTTATCGGTTAAAATCGGATATGTCATTCCTGATGGAATACAACAAAGAAAGCTAATATGAACCTCTTCCGGTTTAATGTTATCTGTCCCCCGTCAAAAAAGACCCTGCGTAGAATGAGTTTAATAGAGACTGCGAAATCTGTATTGTTAATAGAAAGGTTTAACAAAGACATAGAACAAAAATAAAAGAATATAATGCCAATACTTAAGGAGTGACTTTAAAGTAACAATATATAACATAAAACAATGAATTGTTATCATATCATTATCAAGGTTTTAACAGTTAGTAATATGTAAACGTTTCCTATTTGTTGCTTAGCTTATCATTCTCCCGGATTCTAATTCTTTTATAAATATGTTATCACAATTCATATGTATATACATATATATATATATATATATATATATATATATATATATATATATATAGAGAGAGAGAGAGAGAGGGGCCAAAAATAAAGCAAATATGGATTATAATCGAATGTAATTAATATGAGATACATATGTATGCATAGTTAGACAACATATTTTCATTGAAACATGTTTCAATTAATAATATAGACATATTGTGTCTACTTATTTTCATACTGATCCTTTCTAGTTGTTTAATTGGTTTCTTGATGTTAAGTTGTAATTCATTAAGGAGAGTGACGTAGTTTCTTTCCTATCCAAGTACTTTCGATCTCCTCCAAGATCAATTTCATGGATGAATTACCAAAACTAATTCATTGTAACTGTGATATATATATATATGTATGATAAAGAAGAAATACAAAACGTTTATAAATTTAACATGTTTTTGCTTTTATTTTATGATGAAACTGATATAAAAGCGGAACATTTTAAATTTATAAACATTTTCTATTTGTTCCTTATCTTATTACACACATACACACTCTCTCTCTCTCACGCACGCATATATATATATATATATATATATATATATATATATATATATATATATATATATAGTTATCCATAGACTGTTTCGCTGTATCACAGCTTATATATATGCCTTGATAAAGTCCCTCAGAGGACGAAACGCGTCAGCTAAGATAATTTTTTAATGATAATATATATATTTCATTGAAGACCACTGAGAAGGCACTGTTTATTAAATTCATACAAGTGATTTTTTCTGGACATAGTGTGCAAAAATAATGAAAACGTTAATAATAAATAACATGTCAATTCACGATGATATCAATTATACCGACAGTCACAACACATTCCCATTCTTATATATACATATAAAATCCTAGACTACGACGTTTTCTTCTTCTAATGATCTATTTTATTATTAAAACTGCCGTGTAATACAACGTATGAATAAATCTAAAACTTCTCTTAACGTAATTTTATTTCTACTGAAAATAGCTTAGGAAACCGAAAGCGATTATCATGTAATAATACTTGTGCAACATCATTCCGATGTCATACACGTAGCCTCGTCTCATATACATACACAATAAATGTATTTATCTCAGTAACCGACACCAGAGCTTCGCGTCACATCTCGCGTTTGGGTCAGATTTTCGATAAATGTGTGTGTGTGTGTATCAATAATTTCGCGCCGATGATAAAATTATTTAATGGACCAGATATATATATATATATATATATATATATATATATATATATATATATATATATATATATAGAATTGTAATAAAGTCACTATTTACTTACAATGACAATTAAGACATGCCAATTAATCAGCAGTTCAGAAATTTATTATTATTTAAAATGGTTCTGATTAATAACAATAAATTTACTATTGATAAACAATAGTAAATTAATTACCGATAATGTTCCAACTGCAAACCACTTGTTTCATTGCTTTGTTTTTTATTATAAACAACTGTATTTATTGATACCATATATATATATATATATATATATATATATATATATATATATATATATATGTGTGTGAGATAACGATATATATTTTTATATGTCACGAGCAATATTGGGGAAATTGTATGGCAAAGAGTAAAAAGTTTACTTATCATGTGTTTCATCAATCAGGACTTCATCGGACTAAATTTGTTATGTTGCTACCAGTACACATGCGCACGAACGAGGGTTGCTGGGAATTTTAGAAATTTTTTTTTTAATCAAGCCGAATTCTTTTCGATTGTTTTTCATTTTCTTTCCATTACTTTTGTTAATACGTATTCCACACTGTGACAATAGAAGATCTGTCAGGAATGGTGAAATACACACACACACATATATATATATATATATATGAATTATTTTTATTCTTATAATTTGCTCTGTATCATACATTGAACTCTCATATGGACTGAAAAGTCCTCTTTCGAATAATTCCTACCAATCACAATTTGGTATTATATATATATATATATATATATATATATATATATATATATATATATATATATATATATATATATATATAATGGATTACATTTTTATTTTATTTAAACGTTATATTTGCTGGATACTCATATTCAGGTAGAAGCTCTAATTTTTTTTAAATAAACAATATTTTTTAACCAACTACATCTACCAGCCTGAAAATATTCGAGCAGTAATTCCTATCAAAAATGTTTCGTTAAAAATAACTGAAAAAGTACTTGTTAGCTATTTTTTATTATATTTTTCTTGTTAACGAACGACTTCATGGATGTAAAAATTGTTTAAATCATTGTTCGTTCAGAGCGCTAATCTGTTAGATATTTTAAGGATTTGGGTTGTGTTATTGTAAAAAGCGTATAAGTTGCTGAAAGGTGGGTATATTTTTCATTTTCGAATACGGCCAATACATTGTGGCCGTCTTCATCGTTGATGTTGTTAAGGATTATGTATCTATATATATCTCTTCTTCACACCCTCCTCATCCCTTTCTATTACACACAACATCGTGCGTATTTTTATTTCTTTTTGAAAATAATAATGTAGCGTTCTTTATTTTTTTTTTTTTATTTTTATTTTTTTTTAAAAATGCGTTAGGTGGTCATTTGCTAAAAATCGTCTGAGGAGACCGTAAGGTGGAAACCAAGGTAGCGGAATCAACTGACCTCCTGATTTCTAAAGTTGAAAGCTCTACA